ATTTATAGTACTAATATAGCTAAAGAAATACTAATATTAAGGCTTAGTTATAGGCTTATAATATACTTTTATTAGTTTTAGTTAAATAATAAATATTCTATATAAGTTAGTAAAAGCTTTAAGGGCTATCCTTATAATTTAAAATATAAAGCTTTAAGAAATACTAAAGTAATATATAGCTACTTACTATATATAGCCTTAACTAATATTATATAAAAAGTTTATTAGCTTTAAATATAAGCTTTACTAGTTAGATCTTCTTATACTTATATTTATACTAATTTAGTTAGTTAATTAATAAAATTAGTTCTTTATAACCTAAAGCTTCTTTATAAATTACCTATTATAATTTATTAGTAGCCTTTAACTAAATTCCTTTACTATAACTAACCTGCTAGGGTTAATACTATCTTTATAATTAAAAATAGTAAAGAAATAAGGCCTTTTTCTATTCCCTTTAGATTTAATAATCTTTATAGCTATCCTTATAATAAGTAGGTCTTTTTCCTTACTATATTTATTATTTAAGCTAATAGATAGTAGTATTATTATTATTACTATTAAAAGGGAAATTAAGTATTTTAAGATTATTATAACTAGGAAGTAGCCTTATAGCCTTACTTAAATTAATTAAAACTATATACTTATTTTTAATAAATAGTAAAATAAGTAAATAGTAAAAAAGCTACTAAAAGGTTACTATTTTAGTTTTATTTCTTACTAACCTTTTCTTATTAAGTTTATAGTAAAATAGGTATATTATATAAATACTATCTAGATTAAAAATCCCTTAACTATATAATTTAATACTAAAATTATCTAATTTAGGAATAGCCTTCTGTATAGATTTTACAGATTATATTAAGTATGCCCGTTCGTATTAATTAGATCAGGGCCTGAGAGACAGACATAGAGAGGAAAAAGAAGGGTCCATCCATGATGATGATGGATGGGCTACGGGGCCACTCACACCACCACACCCCCACTTACACGCGCTAACATCGGATGCCACACCCCATTACACAAGACGAATCCACTGTGATTGCATTTTCAAGGGACCTGGGGGTGGAGGCTTCAGGTCTGGTGGGCTTGGACTTTTGGGCTTGGGCCTGGGCTTGGTCTTGGGCTTGCAGGTACCCAGCCCGCTCCGCTCCTCTCCTTCTCGGCACTGCTGATGTGCATTCGAGCTCGGGCTGTACTGTAGAGTTTGTGGTATAATAAGAACCTGACATCCCCCTTTCGATTTTGCTTCTCATCATCAATCAACACAACAACAACAATCACAACCACTTCAGCTACTCTTCAGCCTCATTTATAAACTCTCTCCCCTTTCAAGCCGGCGTTCACCACTAGCCTCTTCAATTTCTCAATTCGACTCACTTGTTTCAGTCGATAATTCATAACTCAATCACAAAACTGAACCTCATCTCAAACCACTTACACAACCACCACAAAACACATTCATCATGCCCGCTCGATCAGACTACGGCTCCGTCTCCATGTCCATGTCCCCCCCTCCCCCTACAAACCTCTCAAGCTATGCCCGCTTCATGCACGACCACACAAAGCGTCAGATGGAGGCTTCCGGTGCTAGCCCACCCCCAACCAACGCTACTGCTCAGCGCGCCCGTTCGTCTGGCATGACAAACGGCCACACCAGCCCCAACTACTCATAAATCATGCTGAGAATACGACAATTCTAGAACTCCACTCTCACCATGAGTTCTACTTTTCACTGTTTTGGCGTTCTGCCTTGGCGGTTGGGGCATGACATCAATCGCGACGTCAATCGTGGCGAAGCTGGCCCCAGCCTCTTCCAAGCCAGGCCTCATCATGACTCTTGTCTCATGAAACATTAACACATCATCTACGGCGTACTGGTGCCTAAAAAAGCTCATTTTTATATGACGAAATGGCCTACTTTCAAAATTCTTTTCTTTACAAGCAAACACGACATGCAAGGCGTTTATGGTCAAGGGTTTATGAGCTGCGAGAGTAGCACTGTAACATAGGTAGCGGGAATAGGGATACACAAACATGTGCGGAGGAAAGGGAGATAGTTTTATAGCTATTTGCTGCGATTAGCGAAATGATATATGAACCAATTATTTGATCACACCATTTTTCATTTGACGGTGAATTGAATACAAAGTGACTGCTTGCGCCAAATACAAAATCATTATTACAATTAATTGTTAAGTCCCGTGAATGTCACCTTCATGACGACTTCTTTTTGAGACCTAGAGCAGCCGCATGATCCTTCTTCTTTTTCACCGCCCTCTTAAACGTTGGAGCTGGGGCTTGCGGCTCAATCGGTGTGTTTTCTGGCTCAGCAACCTTCACGGAGCTCTCCACCTGCGCTCGCGCTGCAGCGAATGCTGCCTTGGCAGCTTCTTCATCCTCCCTTTCCTGTTGTTTTCTCTCTTCGTCTTCTGTTCGCACGATAGTATCTACAAAATCCACCCCTTCTTTCTCAGATCGGTTGATGCGAGCGTTTCTGTGGCGGATTTCGTCCAAGGCATCAGCGGCGGCCATCTCTCGTTGAGCATCCTGGTTCTTGGCTTCCAGCTCCTCCATCTTGTCCAACTCTTCCTCGCCCGCGGCTTCTGCTTCCTCTCTTTCCAACCTATCTAGACGTTGTTCGACGCTTTCTTCCTCAGCCGCGCGATTCCTCCATGGTTCATTGTTCCTCACCGCTCCACTAACCACAACGTAGTCTTGGTTCTTTGGGTCGGTCTTGATGATGATCTCCGAGCTGCAGGATGAGCAACGAAAACTAAGCTTAACGATCTGTATTCCTAAGTACTTTTCGTCCGGAGGAGTCTCCTTGCGAGCGTTCTTCTTCAAACCGCGATTCGAGAAGGCGCCGCATCGCGTGCATCGCATAGTAAACTAGAGAGTAGTGTTAGCTTTAGTCGTAATCTTACAGGGCTTTGGTGGGTCAAGACATACTGGACACATTATGCGAACCTGCTGAATGCGAGGTCCAGCGTTCTTGGGTCCACGACGACGCTGAAGAGCGCTTGGGTCAAAGTCGGGAGGGTAGTATTTCTGTAGTACTTTGCGTTCCGACATCGTGGGCGGACTCGAATAATAGGTCTTTCAAGTACGGCTCAGTTATAGGTGGAAGCGCGCTTGTGGATTAAGGCAGCTGCTGGTGGTAGGGTCAGATTCGAGCTGTGTGAATGATCAATCGTGAACTGAAGTTTTGGAGTTGAGCAGGCGCAAAGCGTAGCTGATAATAGCGGGGCCATTCGGCTGAATAATTCAAAGTTAACCAATCAGCTCGTGTCGCGATCCAGCGGTTCCCAAAGGTAAGGGAACCATCCAAAGTTGGCGTAAGCTGACCTGATGCTTTCAGTCACTTAGGACCGCGGTCTCCAGTTTCTTCCTCTTCTAACATACCGCGACTCTCTCTCAGCGAGTGAAGATACCAATGTCATAGATGGTTTTACAGATACTCAAGGTTGGAATCATAGTGCGCTACGCCAATAAGCTTTGATAACCGATACATGGAAGGCCCCACCTATTTCTGGGCGGCTCCACACTCTTAACATCCATCCTATCCATCCACCAGCTCTTTAGTATATGAGAATCTTCCTTCTTCAAACATCATCGCCAAAATGCCAAAGGCCGAGGTCGGTTCAACGAAATACGTCGCAAACCGCATGAAGGCCAAGGGCCTTCAGCGCTTGAGATGGTACTGTCAAGTTTGCGGTAAGTAAACGCTGCGCTGCGCTGTCTCATCATCGTGGTTTCAACTCCTCTCAACCACACTTCTGAATCTCATAACGAATACTAACTGTTTCACAGAAAAGCAATGCAGAGATGCGAATGGATTTCGCCAGCATACCATGTCTGAGTCTCATGTTCGGCAAATGTTGCTTGTCGGCGAAGACCCTAAGAAGTACATAAAATCGTACACGCAGCAGTTTCAGTCAGACTTTCTCCAGCTTCTCAGGACGGGTCACGGTGAGAAGCCGGTCCATATCAACCATTTTTATCAGGAGTACATACGAAACAAAGAGCATATTCATATGAATTCTACCTCTTTTGCTAGCTTAACGGAATTTGCAAAACATCTGGGCCGCGAGGGAATTTGCCGCGTCGAAGAAAACGATAAGGGTATTCACATAGCGTGGATAGACCGGTCTCCAGAAGCCCTAAGACGACAGGATGCATTAAGACGCAAAGAGGCCCAGGATCAAGGCAACGAGGAGATAGAACAGCGAATGATTCGGGAGCAGATCAAGCGAGCACAAGCCACCGCTGGCAGTCGGGAAGAGGAGAAAGAGGAGGATAACGAAGCTCGAGAGCTAAAGCGACAAGAAGGCGAGAAGATCAAGCTCTCATTTGGAGCGAAGCCAGCTGCCTCCGAAGCGAAGTCATCAGAAAGCCCAGCGCCTGACACAACAGCCCCTGAAGCGGAAACTTCGAAGACAGCAGACATGACTACGGACAAGGGCAAGGAGCCGGAAGCAGCGCCAGCAAAGCCTGGTGGGTTTGGAGGTATTTCAATGAAGCTTGGCGGAAAGCCTCAAACCAAGAACGTTTTCGCCCAGGCCAAGAAGAACGCCCTCGCTTCAGGATCCAAGAAAACAGCCAAGATTGAACAGCCAAAGAAGATGAGCGAGGCTGAACGCATAATGAAGGAGGAGATGGAGAAGAAACGATCAAGAGAGTCTGCTGGATTCAGCTTTGGTATGGGCTCTGGCAAGAAGCAGAAAAATAATTGAGGATATTAGGGATTGTCTTACAGCTTGGACCGGGTTAAAGGAATCATAGCAAATGGCAAAGGTGAAATTTGTTAAGCACAAGAATTGGATGGGGTGTTTTTGCTTTGTTCTACCATCGATACCACAACGGCCGCTTTTAACTAATCATACGCAATTTTCATAATATTTACTGCTATGCCAGTCCCTCTAACGCCAGTTTCGCCAGAAACATAGAATAAATTATTCCAAGCCAGTCAAAACATGGCAATCTAAGCATCGTTCTCCGCCTCTGTGCCGTCACGTCTATAAACCCAGTCAGTTCGGTCCATGCTACCAGTGTCCAAGTTCGACTTACGGAATGTACTGTATTCTATACTCGTCTTCCAACGTCGATCTAATTTCGTCGGGGAGTTGACCTGACACTTTGATGGCGTACATGCCAGGAACATAGTTGTCAAGGCGCTGGTACTTTGCGATCCATGATTTGGCCGGGTTCGCGAGGGTGATAACTCCCTCGAAGACTTGGGAGGTGCAGCTCTCAATCTGGTCCTGCGAGTGCTGAAGATGCAGAAACTCTTCGCAGTTCGGGCAGCCTTCGTCGCGGAAGCGCTAGGATCGCAATATGTTAGTCTCGGGCTCGTGCTTGGCTTCGCGACAGAGAGGAACGTACGGCGTAGGTCATGACAACAGAGCAGACCATGCATGCTCGTAGGTAGCGCGCTTGGCCGGTAGAGACGTAGTTGGAAGTCGACATGGCTCGTGTTTCGTGAGAGATACCGTCGATAGTGTTTTGTTTCGGCGATCGGTCTGGGGCGTGAAGAGTGGTTGCTGGAATGTTGAACAAGTTCGCGACAAAGGCGGCGATGAAGAGCTGTTATGCATTTAAGCGGTGTATACAACTACTGCGATATCCACTCAAACTTCAGTCTTTCATTAAAGATACCTAGACCAACTTGATCATCAACGAACCATTTTGTTACTTCTATTGATAATGACACAAAATTCAAGCCAAGGCAGCCAAAAGTCAATATTCCAACAGAAGGATCTCGAAAAGTCTCATGATCTTCTCACATGCACAATCAAGGAGCCACCATTCTCATATGTACACCTGCAACTTGTCAGCCTCAGCGGCACATCATCTGCCACACTTGACAATCTTTCGCTCAAGAGCTACTGCACAACTGCTCTTCGCCGATGTCTGGGAATGGTAGGAACTGCAATTTCTATGGATATCCTTAAAATCGACAACGACCATGCCTGGGTCCGTGTTCCAAGACCAGACCTTGGCTCCTTTGCAACAGCAATCACAGCATGGCAAGGCACAACGGATGATGGCGAGCAAGTAAGCCTACAACTACGACAATGCTCAGACTGGCTAGGCGCCATGGTTGGAGCGGACGGGCAAGATCGATTATGGAATGCTTGAAGAGTGGCATTTTGTCATAGTTATCATCATTCAACTGGAACCTCATTTTATCATCTCATCTATCCGAAGATGGGGGTATAAATGCATGCATGTACATCGCCCATCGGCCTACCCTGCAAATGCACCGTTTCCAGACGCCCGGGACCTGAATACATTGTGAAATCGCCGCCAGTTTCGCTTTCTAAAGGCTCTCCGTTTTTTCTACATCAGGGAAGACATGAGAGAGCTTTGCGCATATGCCTGACAGTTGATCAGTATTGGGGATTACGAGGTTAAACACCGAGGGCCACTCACCATAGGCTTGATGTCGGGATGAGGCACAGCATCAAATTGCTCGTACTGGAGTTTGTAGTCGGGGCCAATGTTGATGTAGGCACCCCTGTTTTCTGTTGAGTCACAGTATCGGGGGGCAGAGAAGACTAAGGGATGATCAGCAAAAGTTCAACGAAGATACCCAGAATAGCTTACCAGTAATACAGCGGCCATCGTGCTGCACCTCATAACCGTCCATGCGAACCTCGTGACTTCGAATAACAGCCTCAAGACCGTTCTTCTCACAGAACTTCTTGGTGATGTCGGGACCAAACTGCATACCGACACCACGCTTGCTGGGTCCTCGGCCGTTCTCCTCCTGGGGGTCGGTCCAGAGCATCTCCATCATCAAACCAGCTTGACCTGGTTGTCGCTGGTTGTGTCGGTTGAGTTTTCGGATATCGTCAAGAGTGACGCTGTCATCCGAGAAAAGACCTCCGTGGAGGACAAGGTACTTCTTGCCAATGAGGGTAGCCAGAGCAAGAGCAGAGAAGCTCTCAGAGAACAGCTTGAAGACCCTTATACTCAATCAGTACCGTCACATGGATATATGGTTCAAAAAACTCACCGCTCGTTATACTTGGCTTTGCACTCGCCCTCGAAACCGTACACACGGTTCATGTCATCCGTTTCGTGGTTACCACGGTTCAAGAAGAACTGGTTAGGTCGCAGCCACTTATAAGCATAGAGGAGCAGAGCGATTTCAGTTGACCAAGAACCTCGGTCAACGAAATCACCGTTGAAAAGATACCAGTGCTTCTCGTCGGGGGTTCCGTTACGGCGGAACAACTCCATAAGATCAAAGTATTGACCTGAAGTGGCGAATTAGCTTGGTAAACCTCTGACCGACAAGTGCTCTTACCGTGAGTGTCACCACAGACAGTGAGCTTCACGTCGCTGGGAATCTCGACCTCGACCATGGTGGGTTCGTCGTATACGAGCTTCTTGACCGCGATGATAATTTGATAGACGTATTTTCGGTGGATCTTCTTGCCCGTCTTGAAACGTTCAATCATATCGTCGATGAACTCCTGTGTCATCTCGTCGCCCAATCGCACACCATCATATCCTGGCTCGACCACCATGGAGTCCAGATCAAGACCCTCAGCCGCTGAGGGCTCATCGCCGACCTCGATTGCTGCAAAGAAGGCTAGCTGGCGGACGATCTTTTTGCACTCCTCCAGCTTGAGTCTGGCATCCTTGTTGCTGGGATCGAGAGACACACATGTCTTGAAGTCGTCAATGGCATCCTTAGGTCGGAGGATCGCAGTCTTGGCCAGTCCTCGTCGGTAGTACGCCTAGCACGGTCAACATTTCAAAGCCTCTTCCTCCGGTTCGTTGGGAGTCTTGTGGCGAACCTTTACAAGTTTGGGGTTGAGCTCGATAGCCTTTGTAGCGTTGGCAATAGCGTAACCGTAGGCCTCGGTCTTGATGTATGCCTAGAGTACCAAGTCAGGAAATGTTCCGGGGTTAAGATTGTGTGGTATATTGACGCACTTGGGCTCGGTTGGTGAAGAATGTAGGCTCCTTGTCGTTCAGCTTAATGGCCTCGCTGTAAAAGTCTACGGCACTAGGATAATCTCCCGCTTGGAAGGCCTTGTTGCCCTTGTTCTTGAGTTCGACAGCCATTTTGCAAAGTCAGGGTTTGTTCGGCGAAGAAAGATGGCTGCACAGAAGGAGATCGGAGGGGGAGAGGAGGGGGAGGGGTTCTGTCGTTGGTTTGCGCCGAGCGCAGCTACAACCGCTGAAGTCAGTCGCAAAGAGAGAAGAAGTGGATTACGAAAGGAAGGATTCAGAATAAGCTTGTGGAATGTTAAAGAAGCGAGACAATCTGCCAAATCGGCTTGGTTCCACAATGTGAGGAAGGGGAAAGAAGTTTTGGACGTTGATGGAGGGCGGCTTCTCGGTGGAGTTTCTCCCCGCTGGCGGCGTCATGAAGACGAACCTAGAACGCCTGGCGGGGCGGGCTTAACGGGCAAGGCTTCAGGGCTTTCAACCTTTGTGATAGGTTAGAATGCCCCTGTAAGCGATCGCAGCTGGGCGCAAATCAGCAATGCCTAGCGTGACCACGCGCCTAAAGTTGGGGAATCTTTATCAATCGCCACCAACACCGATGTGCGTGTGTGTGCATGTGTGTGCATGTGTTGCTGCATTGGAGCCTGGCGAATGGGATAGATCATCTCTTTATTGTGCTACGTTTCTACAGTCCAAGCCCAAGTTTTCCTACTTTCAATCACCAGGCTATTGTGCTACTCGTAAAGCTTACCTAGAGTAATGCATCGCTGACTCACTTGGTTACCCAAGAAGTCAACAAGTTGTTCAAATTTACCTTGAGTAAGAATGGCAATAGGTATTATCCACAGAAACCTATACCTGGACTGCCTTGACCGAATCGGAGATCGGTTAGTTGCATATCAAGATCTCGGCCCCACTGCTTCATTGTTGGAACCTCAGTCAAAGTTATTCACAACCAACAGACACAAACCAAACTCATACCAAAAAGACTCGACTCTGAATATCTGAAACACACCCAGAGACATCGCGCAACTAGAAAACACGGTCCAGCACTGATAGTGAACTTTCCACGGCTGGTGCGCGCCTTGCGCCCAGTATTGGCACATCATGGACTCATCAGGGTCAGGGACCTCAAATGCGCTGGTACGCAAGCGGACAGACACAGACTTGATGCCCCCGCCTCCTCAAGCCAAAAAGATAAAACGACCCAAGAAGGTACTTGACGAAGATACCTACACAGAAGCATTATCACGAATCATCGCCCGGGACTTCTTCCCGGGACTCCTTCAAACTGAGATACAGCAAGAATATCTGGATGCGCTTGAGTCAAAGGACTCTGCCTGGATCTCAAGTGCGGGCCGAAGACTTCAGTATGTTATGACACCTGGACGCAGAAATGATCCTCTCTTATCACAACCGAATTCCTTCACTTCTGGTGGCCGGACACCTTCAACATATGGCGGCGATACGCCAGCTTCAGTTACCTCTAATGTTCCGGATTCCCAACCATGGCTAGGAGCCAACATGAGCCTAACAAAATTTCAAGATACTTACACAAGTGAGGATAATGAAAGCTTTTATAAGCTTGTAGACAAACAGAATCAGAAAAAGGCGGACAAATATGCCTGGCTTTGGCGCGGCAACAAACTGCCATCAAAGCAAATGATCAAACAGAAAGAGGTTGAGGATCGACTGAGCCAAACCCGAAGCCTCATAGATGACGGATTCAAGAAGAACTTGCTGGCCATCAAGGACAAAGATGACCGCCCAGCTCGCCCGGATTCCTGGAATGCCAACCCTCGAAACGGTTTGATGTTCAGACCTGAAGGGTTAGAGGATGGTGTCCTTACGGTTTCTCAGAAGGCCGAAGAATCTTCAAGAATGGCCCCAAAGTCAATAGTCTACGAGAACACGAGAATGCCACAGCCGCGCATCACACCGAGGGCGCCATCTCCGACCATGTCAGCGGTGCGAGACGCCATTGCCAGCAAGCCTCGGAAAGATGATCGAGACTCTAGCATCGTTAGCGGAGGCGAGACACCGAGGGTTAATGGGTATGCTTTTGTGGACGACGAGGATGATGAAGATGAGCCAATCCTTGCTGCTCCTATTATCAATCTAGGCCCGGGAGATGCAGCCCCAAACCCTTTCCGCCTGCAAGAGCAACGCGATAGAGAAAGTCTACACGAACGCATGGTGGAGAGGATATCTCAGTCGAAGAAGGAATCCTCAAGGAATGGACTTACAGGGAGAGTTGACAAGACGCCGGTTCCAAAGTTTCCGAGTAGTCCTCGGGTCAATGGTGGACTTACGCCGGCCGCACAAAGGCTTTGGAGTAAGGTTGGCACCCCTGGACGTGGATCAAGTGGGAGCTCATTTGGAAATTCCAAACCCATGACTCCCAGAGGATCACTTTTGAGATCAGTGAAGAGACCTGACTCAACATCTGGAAAGAAGTAATGGTGGAAATGAGATACCGCGGTGACGGGGTTCGGGGCATCTCTTGCTTTCCATGTCTTCCATGTCTTCCGGAGTGAATTAATGGATTGAAAATTGCCCCAATGTTCCATTGTTTTCACTTGGCCAGTCACTACCTTACCTATCCTCGTCTTTTTTAATAGCATGGTGTTGTGTTGGCGCTCCATACTTTTCACGATACCTGCAGCGGCTCAAAAGAGAAGCGCAACCATTCTGGATTATTTACATGATAAAGCAAATAGAATTTAAATTCGAATAATTATTTTCTCACTCGGCCGAATACTGTGTCTGGTTCCTCCAGCTCTGAGATGAGGCCATTTACAAGGAACCCGCTTAGTTGCATGACCCATCGATTAGATCATGGACTTTTTTTGGTTGGACCTTGGAACTACCAACCCACCAAACCGAGCTGGCAGCCAACGCCAGCAAGCCAGACAATATCAACCACCTCCATTCAATGTGCTTCTGGTCCAAGGAGGCCGTCTAAGCCCGATGAGGTTCGTCGACTTCGCAATCGACCTTGCGGCAGTGCTCAATGCCTCTCGAGGTGTCGCCGCTAAGCATGTCGCGCTTCGAGGTCGTCAGATCGATACATACAGTCGAACTTCAAGTGTTGCAGCGGCATTGAGGAAGCGAAACGCTCAAAGGAGCTCACCAACGGGGGAGAAAGCACCGAATGCTACGGCGGCGAGCGATGAGGTTGTATACGAGCAAGCTGCACCGGCAGCACGAGAGACGAAACCTATAATCGAAACACCGAAACAAAATGTTCCGCCTGAAGTGACGAGGACCGAAAGAGCACCCTTCAATAGCCCGGTTCCCAATTTCAGACCGAGCCCACAGCAACAGGTTACATCGGAACAGGCGAAAGAGGATGACCTTGATCTACCGCCTGGGATCGACGTCAACATCTTCCATACCGCGAGAGGTTCCAAAGTCCTCGACTCTCTACGAAAGCAAGGTCGACCTGGAGCACCTCCTGCACGCCCCGGAGTTGGGGGTCCTGTGAAGCCACATCCCATGCGAGACTGGCCTCCGCGCCCACCACCCCTCGAAGAGAGCTCTGAAGAGGAGCCCGTAAAACCTCAAGAGCCTGTGTTCAAGCCAGTGGAACTCGTAGAGCCTATAGAGCCAGCTGAGAAGGAACCCCTTGTCGAGGAATTTGTGCCGAAGAAACAGTTGGAGCAGAAGCCCGTCGAGCAGAAACCGGTGGAGGAAATCTCCGTGCCTGAACCAGAAAAGGCCACTCCGTCAGCCCCTCCGGCCATTCAAAAGATCGACGAGGATGTCATTCAAGCCGCCAGAGAGATTGCTGGGGAGACAGCAACGCCCTCAGAGACACCATATGCTTTACGAGAATCCAAGGTCCCCTCGTCTCGTATCAGCCGGATCTGGAACTATAGTGGTCTTGCAGCAGGTATGTTGGGAGGCGCCATGACCGAGGGCTTCAGTCGAGCCTTTGGCGGTGGTGGCGAGGGATCTGTCCTCCTGAGCGAGAAGAACATGGAGCGTCTGGTTGCCAAGCTCTCGCGTATGCGTGGTGCTGCTTTGAAGCTTGGCCAGATGATGAGTTTTCAGGACACCAAGATGCTACCTGCCCCCATCCAGCAGGTGCTCCAGCGTGTCCAGGATCGCGCTGATTACATGCCTGCCTGGCAGCGTGATCGCGTATTAGTAGCAAACCTCGGTCCTGAGTGGAGAGACCTCTTCAGCGATTTTGAGGAGAAGCCTATCGCTGCTGCTTCTATCGGACAGGTTCACAAGGCCACACTAAAGAACGGCAAGCGAGTTGCCGTCAAAATCCAATTCCCTGGTGTCGCTGACTCGATCAACTCGGACCTCGACAACCTGAGCATTCTCCTCACAGCTACCAAGCTACTCCCTAAGGGTCTATATCTCAACAAAACCATCGACAACGCGCGGTTGGAGCTTGGTTGGGAATGTGACTATGAGCGTGAGCTTCAGTGCGCTCAACGCTACAGGGAGCTTCTCGGTTCAAGTGAGAAGGATGTCTTTATGGTGCCAAATGTTTATCCCGAGGCATCTGGTAAGCAAGTACTGACCATGGACTTCATGGATGGTATCGGTGTGACTCGCATCACCTCTTTCACCCAGGAGCAACGCGACTGGATCGGTACCCAGATTCTTCGTCTCTGTCTCCGTGAGATCACAGAGTTTCGGTTTATGCAGACAGATCCAAACTGGACAAACTTTCTCTATAATGCGGATGTTAACAAGCTCGAGCTGCTGGACTTTGGCGCATCTCGCGAGTATCCTGACGAGTTCGTCACGCGATATGTGCAGCTTCTCGCTGCGGCCTCTCGATCCGACAAGGCCGCTGTCAAGGAGTTGTCAGAGAGCTTGGGCTACCTGACAGGCCATGAGAGTCGCACCATGGTTGAAGCACACACAAAGTCTGTTCTTACACTTGCGGAGCCTTTCCTTGCCAGCGCACCCGATATTTACGACTTCAAAGACCAGACGATCACCGAGCGTGTCAAGGCTCTCATACCCGTCATGCTCCACGAGCGATTGGCACCTCCACCAGAAGAGACATACAGTCTGCACCGAAAGCTCAGCGGTGCGTTCCTCCTGTGTGCCAAATTGGGGAGCAAGGTCCCTTGCAAGTCTATGTTTGAGGATGCGCTTGCCAAGGGGGGGTATAGTAGGTGAGAGTGAGGGGGAGTCAAGTGTAATTATGTACCATATAGTCTCATGTGTAACATTATTTAGATGATAAAACGGTCGACGGATGTAGAATAGAAACGGGATTTTATGACAACAATGCCTTGTCCAGAGTACTATACAGTTTTCCGGCATCTCTCGTCCGAGGGTTGGGGACTTTAACCACGAGACCTGTAGTTAGTTCTTGTAGTTTAAGTACTAACAAGAAGAAGAAGAAAAGATTGTTAAAGTGCAATCAATGAACACGCTTGAGCTTTGTTCTTTTCTATTCTTATGGCTGACTCTACAGTCATGTTTGTCTCAAACACAAAAGAAACGTCTACTCTATTTGGAGTCACTTGCAGCCTGCTTCTTCTCCAGAGCCTTTTCCAGGGCCTCAACCCGCTTATCAATCTTCTGGAAGGACCAGCCCTGGAAGGCAGGTGGGTAGAACAAAGGGCGAAGGTCAAATCTGTGGTCGTCGGGCGAGTAATTTTCCCTGTGTAAAAGTCAACATCTAAAACGTGATACCAAGATCCAAGAGGCCCACTTACACATGAACAGCTGGCGTCGCCACAGCTTGTTTGTGGCTACATCTTGTTAGTAAAAAGATCATTTATCAATAGGAATACTACTTGCCGGTTGATGTAATGGAAATGGTAGAAACGCTTCACCTTGGTGGCGATATCTCGTGGGCTCAGTTTACCCTCTCCGCCCCATTCTTCGACAAGTCGTAGGAACATGCCGTAGGGTCCCAACTTGCTCTCCTTGCGTAGTCGCTACAACAAGGTGTCAGTTTCATCGCAATATTGGCTTTCATCTATAGCTGGTTCACTTACTCCAAAACGAGCCAGTTCGTCATAGGTCATGCCCATATCAACTGCGGTTGCGTCAATAAGTTAACTTGCAACAGGAGACGATCGCGTACCCTCGTCAGACTGAACATAGTTTTCGGTGATAGGCTCTAGCTCGGCCGTGGCTATTTTGATGTCAGTCGTCTCGTGGCCTAGCCAGCGTGATAGATTTCGTACGTGTAGCATGAATAAACTCTTCCAAAATCGGCATGTCGAAGTTCTTGGCCGCCCATGAAATGAAACTCTTGAGATCCCTTTTACTCACAGCTCCAATCGGGTTCAAATCAGCACTTGAGCAACTTCGGTCATCTATTAGTATGATTCACATCAGGGGTATACGGGCGAAGCTCTTACTCGTATTTTGTGAGGTCTGGAAGATATCATTAGTCAACATCGCAGTAGCCTTCTTTGAAGCACACTCACATCCTCGGAGACATTCGTCAACATTACTGGATCCAAGCACAAGCAGGCTTCCTCCCCCTGGGCGCTGCCGAACTGTTGGTAGCATCTGAGCGTAGTAATAGGCGATGACCATGCGGCTGCGTGCCTGGATATTCTGAAGGGCCACTGCAAAAGTCAGTATATCACTTAAAGGGAACCTAGAATACCTTGCGTGGAGTAAAAGGTCGTACAGTTTTCAGTAGCTGATCCACCATGAACCTTGAATTTAGGCTCGAATCCCGTGCCTTGAGTAAGCAAGTTCTTGGTAGCGTGGAAGGTATCGTCAATGTTCATGTCAGTGTGGTAACTACCGATACGCTCGGCAAGGTCCTTGGCACGCTGTCGAGTCTCCTTGCTGCTCTGCTTCTCCATACCCATGTACACCGTGTGGAAGATCTGATTGCAGAACTCCTCGGCGGTTTCGGGGAGCTTATCCGAGAACACAGCAATTCTCTTGACATCTTCAATGACCTCCTCATTACCAGCCTTGATAGCCTCAACGACGAGTCTGCACATGCTGAACACAATAGTAGCGGTTGCACATGAGTCAATACCTCCTGAGAGGGGGACCAAGTAACCAGATGCCCTGCTTCTTCGGACTGTTCAATAGTTAGTATTTTCAATTCTTTCGAGGTAAAGCTCCGACCGCCAGGGCAATAAGGGCAGACGTACGGTAATCCCAAAGCCAGCAAGCTGGGCCAAGGGCCTATATAACATCAAGTTAGTCGAATTACCCCAGCCGAGTTCTGTCTGACGGATCAACGTACAATTTCTTCCTCGGGGACATGATAACGGGCTGGTCGAGGAGCTGTTGGGGCATGAAGGAGGTCAAGATCCTCATGACCCAGGCTGAAATCAACCTCGATTCTCTCATACACAGGTGCTTGCACAGCCTGAAAGTTGCGAGATGGGGCGAATCTATAAGCACGGACTTCTTCGAGATCAACGGTCGCGGTAACAACTTCGACATCGTCCAAGCTGAACTGAGAGCCTTGAGCCACGATCGAGCCATTGACCATGATGAGAGATGCACCATCGTAGAGAAGCCTGTCTCCATCGGAGCCTAAAGAATCATCAGAGCAAGCAAGATTGAGTCGGTTGTTGGAGCAAAATACCAGACTGGTTTGCATAAAGGTATACACCACCACTCTTGCGAGTTGCTTCAGATATTAGAGCAATACGCTCATCAAGCTTTCTCAGTGTGTGATGAGAGCCGGAGGAGTTGGTGAAGATTTCCACGCCGTTGAGAGCCCTGGATAAAAGTCAGTCATAACCCAGAGGTCCAATAGCCCGGGATTCATCCACTAGCATGATTTGAGCTATTGGGTGATCAAACATACATGTTAATGTGAGGTGCCTGGGGGGTAAAGAGCTCCTCGCAAGTCTCGGCGGCGACAGTTGTATCATTGAGGGACAGAACAACATCACCGATGGGAACTTGTCGAACGCATTGGTGCTTCTGAAGAGCAGGAGGAAGATTGTACTTCTCAACATATCTCGGCCTGTTCCAAGGAGTGAAGAATCGATTCTCCCTGAAGTTTCTATACAAGACATGTCAGCCAGGCAATCTAGCCTAGGTATGGACAGCAAAACGTACCCATCGTTGGCAAGATAGATTTTGGGGCGAAGGCAGAGGAGTTTCCCATCCAGGATAATAGCACGGCAGTTGTATCGACACCCTCTGTGCATGAGAGGAAGACCAACGTCGATGAGAATACCATGGAGTTCGGTGTCAGTCAAGATTGCGAGTAGGGACTCTAAGGAATGCTCGTAAACATCAGCCTCAAGGAAATGGTCAAGACTATTCGGTTTATTAGTAACGCCTCTCTACTAAGTATCAAACTGGGTCAGAATCTGACTTGCCAACCATAGCCTGTAATCTCGAGCTCAGGGCCCGTTCTAAGCGTAGCTCCAGCTTCCTTGGCGAGGATGATACTCTTGCGAATTCTCTTCAAGTTACCCTCCCAATCCAACACCCACTGATTGAGAGAACATGTCGCCAAAGTGATCAAGTCCGCCATCTTGAACTGAAGATGTGAAGGGAATTTGCTATTGAGCGAAGTGAGGGTCGATGACTACTAATGAAGAGATCGGGGTGGGCCTTGAGTTTATGTATTCGCGCGGGGTAGAAGCTTGCGATAGCGGCATACTTTGTTTTACATATGCAATCTATGCCTTTTGTATTTGGTCTTGAACCTGAACTTCACTTCAACAAGCTTCTGTCAGTTTTTATATTGTATGTTTTGTGTACCCAGAGACTTCTATGATCTTTCTTGAACTCTCTTCAGTTCAAATGCTCTATAACTTGGATAGACCTTACGATCCAAGTATCTCATAATGACTCCCAGTGCCCCACCAGAAATAGACTCATGAACTCAAGATACCGGTTCATCTCCGATCGTCCGAAACATAATAACTTTGAGGTTATAATAAGACATTTGGATCCTAAGCGATAAAACGACTTAGGTAAACTACTCTAAGTTTAGGATTGATTTAGGATACCTGCTATTAAAGTCTGATATATTCTTGCTCCCTAAGGACAGCCTCTCGATAAGCATTAAATTAGCTGTCAATTCGACTTCTATGATAAGTAGAGTGATTTAGTATTATGGACTTAAATAATTCAAGCCTAAGTTTAAGGCTTCTTAGCTCGAGGCTTGATGGTGATGCTAGAACTTACATGAGATATCGGTCTCGGGTATAGAGAGAATGGGCAATGAAGATAACAATTGTGAAAACTGAGCTTAAAATCTGTCTACCTAGCTTTACCTTTGCTTGTCCCGTGATTGTTCATCTTTAATTTGCCAAGGCATACGATTTTTGATGTTATCCTTGAGGGATGGGCAGCTGGGGCTGGACCGATTTACTCAACAAATCAACGTGGAATCGTCTCAGTGCTTAGCAAATGAAGGAGCAAGCACAAATAAAGGCAGAACATGAAAATGTAAGAGACAAACATCTGAGATATGAGTATAAATACGATGCTAATTTCCAACTTGAAGTCTTCTCTTCTAAGCCACACCCTGACAGTAGGACAGCTAAGGACCACTTAGTACCTCGATCTTCAGATATCTCGATAGCCCTGAACCAGCGATTCAGTGTAAAGTTGTGTCAACAATATATTAAATGACCCTTTTGTCCACGTCTACAAAGTGGACTTTTCCCCATAGCTACTGAGGAGTCTCTCGAGCATGCACAGCTTGAAGAATACGATACCTCAAGAGAGCATGACAACTCATGTCTGAACCAGTTCCTATATATCTAAACTTTAGCTCTACTATACCTCGGAGGGTCATGTCCTGAGTGTAGTAAGCCATATACCGAGGTAAGTCCATGAAAAGTTTATCGACATTCGATATCTAACCTCCAGAGCTCAGTGCCAGGGATGAGCATTATCGACTGACCTGATGTGACAGCGCACTTCTCTTTTATGACCAGACTCGAAGTACCTAGGCATTCCCTTCTGCCTGGTTCACAAAAAAATGGGGGAACCGCCGAATATATATTAAGTCGCTGTCTCCTGGGTAGGGAAGAGCTGTGATATGTGTTTTTGTGGGAAAGCAACGGCATTTAATCATCAACGACCGAGAAATCTGGAAACCTTTCAGGGGTTATCACTTTCCATACTACCCCTCTGCTTTACAAGGCGTCATGTTCTCGTCGGGGCGTCCAGATGAGTCTGTAGAGTACATCTGCCCTATATGTGCTGTGGAGCTGAGTTGGGAGCTAGGTCCTTACTAACTGGCACAGTAATATAAATCAAATAGCATCAAGCCTGACTGAGGATTGTAACTGTCACAAACTATCCATCAGCCTTCTTTTATGTCTCTGTGTAGTATCTACATATTTCCGAACACCAGGATAAGAATTACCGAAGCAATCGTTCGTCGAAAGCACTGAGAGGACAGTAGTTGATGTCTCAGAAACTCAGGGGTTAGTGAAGAGGGCGTCAGTGGGGGAAAGGAATAGCTACGTAGGAAACAACAATTACAATATCAATTCTATTTTCTTCGGTATATCAAAATCACGCCCTGTTCTATGATTTAAATGAAGACTTGGCAGAATTGAGGTACCGCAGTAGATCCTAAGTGATATGTATACTAGACACAACTGCTTAGTCTTCACTTTTACCCATACAAGGAACAGGATAGGCAGATCCAGTTCTCGGGAGTGAAAGTTCTGTGATCAGCCATATTTTAGGAAGTTCTGACAGTGAATCAGACCGATATTGTACCACGCTGCCTCCATCATCCCAAGTCTAAATACTCCCTTTTTCTTCTTCTGGCTTTCCTTCTTCCTTTCTTCTTTTCATCCTTTCATCCTCTTCTTCACTTCACGAGGGGTTGTCAGCCCTGCTCTCAAGCTCCTCAAGGTAAGCATCGGCCATATGCTCAACATATACGATCACCAACTAACAATTACCCCATCAGGTCTTTACTTCATCTCACCACAAACCTCCTATTCAATATCACCATGTCGAACTCAAAGATTGACCTTGATCTCACTGAGATCCATTTTGACTTCTTCTGTAAGGTCGGGTCACGCCCCAAATGCTACATGCATTGATTGCTGCCCAGGAGGATGATGTCAGGCGCTGGTCTTCTTGTCCTTCATTTGGACCCTTCATCCACAAGCTCTTCGTTCAGTCTCCGAATGTCTCTCATGTTGGGCCCCGTCATCCCACTGGTCGCATAGGCTTTTCGATACTTCAGCGCTTCAGCAGCTTCCTCGCCTATGCTGCGAAAACTCCCGTTGACTCTGCAGCATCTCTCACCCTCCGTGGCCCCTCAAATGGCGAGCCTTTTCCCTTTCCCATCAGAGGTGTTCTAGCCAGATTAATGGAATACGGGCAGTATGAACTGCACAAGGTTCGGATGGCAAACCGCTTCGACAACAAAACAATCAAATATGTGGATGCACAGGCATTTCCATCTGAGAATTTCTCCGAGGCCCGCAACAAGGACCAGCTCAAAGAAGTCAACGTTGCTGGTAGCTTGTATTTCAGATACAATGAGATGTTTGACGGTCGTGATGTCCTGGAACTCAACACTCGAACTGCTTTTGAGGAGCATCTTGAAGTTGTTGGGAACCGAATGAGGGACAATGGCCACAACATCAAGATTCATGTCCCAGATGAGGTCATTGAGACCGAGGTTAAAAATTGGAGGAATTTGCCAGAAGATCTGAATCTGGTTCTTTCAACTTGGGTGCTTATATGGACATGAACTACTTTCTGCCCTTGATCGGCGGTGCAGCTTTTGGCACGATCAAGAATGGAGAGTTTGCCGTATTTGAACCTGACGGTACAGGGGATGTTCAGTTGCGCAGAAATCACAAAACCGACTATGGCGTTCCTCTCAAACCCAAAAGCTAAAATGGAGTGAATTCTTTAGTCTCAACTCTACGTGGCAACCGACCTGCAAACTGTCTTTTGGATGAGGCCCTTTAGGGTCTTGGTACTGGGCATGAATGTCAGTTCTATCCATGAATACAGACTCATACGCTGATATCGAAGAGGCCACTCAGTTTGGACGATGAAGATGGCAGATATATAAAAGGGGCGACTGGTTTGGTGGGCAGTGGCGGCGGAGGTTCATTTATGCAAACCTGAAAACAGTTTATGATCAATAGCTCTTACTTGAAGATAACTAAGAGACCTAATCTTATGCACCACATCCGAGGCTTTCCCTTACATATTAGTGCTGTTGACTGCTTGAGAGGTGTTTGCTCTATCTTTGGCTACCTAGACAAGGGGATGCAATAAAACTTAGGACCTTTATCCTAGGTGTCAAAAAAAGCCTTAGGTAAACTTAGCATAATTTAGTATAGATATAGAGGATCTGAGACTGAGTATTTTTAGTACCTCAGTTTAACGTCAGAAGTCTTCTTACACCCTGAGGCTAGACTCAGAAGCCAAGCTGAAACAAGACTATGACGCCTTGGAAAAGGGGAGCAGTCTTCTCATCTTTCCACTTCTCGCCACCTTCTTGAGCTCTTTTTCATTCTTCCTCCTTAGCTTCCCAACGACCTCGTCGTGATCCTTCCTGATGGCTTCAACCTCAGCCTCGTGCTGTTGCTTCAACTAGACAAGATGTTAGTTCACCTGACGGGCTCAGGAAGAGAGCGAGTGGTACCTGGCCTGCAATAAGCTTTGCACTTCCAGACTCAATCGCCTGTTGACGAGATTGCTGTATTGTGAAAAGTACGTCTTCATGTGAGAAGTTTGTTTCGTTTTGCTGGAAGCCTTTCATCATCGTCTGTTGGATCACCTTGGAGTAGATGAGCGACCAGTGTCCGATTTCAAGAGCACCTTGGCGCATGAGTTGGATTTCGTTTAGGAAATCCTACAAACCTCAGTTCTTTATGCAGTCAAATAGAACGTGGGACATTTACCAGAGTATCTCCAAAGGATAGCCCATCAGGAATTCCCGTGGCTATATCCTTGGACTCAGAACAACTTTCGAGAAACAACTGCATCTTTGCGAGCATCTCGTTGTGATGGATTGCGGCATTGCGAAGACAATCTATAATCCCATGAAGCAGCAACTGAACAGGCTGCAAAACTTCAATGCATTGTTTCTATACCTGGCAGTCAGTATAGTGTAACTAGGATCGGGACAAGGGCATTTTACCAGTTCATTAGCTTGCGTCGAAAGCTTCTGGATGTCGACCTCGGCCTCCTCCTTACGTCTTCTATACTCCTGGCCTCTCTCAAGCTGATCTTGCATGTTACTCTGCGCAGATTGGAGATCGTTGCTCGCCCAGAGGTTTAGCATCCATGTAGCAGCCATCTGACCTCCAGCCACGAGCATCTTTCCACCAATGCCTGCAGAACCAGCAGACTGAATGATAGTTCCAATTTGGTCCGCTAGTTTGTTCTTTTGCCTGGAAAGATCCTCTCGCCGGGCTCGAGCGGCATCTTCGTTTGCTTGGGCTCTATCTTGGTTGAACATCTGGTCATTTATCTCGGTCTTCAAAGTGCCGATCTCTTTGTTTGTTGCGTTCTCTTGTTGGTTCATGATGTCTATCATCATTAGTTGGTCTGTACGACTTGTAGGAGTTTGTGGCAACCAACCCTTGGTCTTGCTGATACGACGACTGAATTCGTCAACGGAAGCACGCCAGGCCTGGAGACTTTTGTCAAGTTCATCGCATTGTTCTCTGCAGACTTCCGTTGCGTTTGTGAGCTTTCTGAGATGTCTATCGAAAGACGCTTTCTCGCCGGGGACACCAAATGTACTTTGAAGTGCGTTCAGCTAGTAATCAAGAAGTTAGTATTGGTACGCCATGAGCCGGTTCGTTACTCTTACCGTTCCCGTATCCTGTATCATGGATTTGGTCTTCATGTAGATACTGTAGAAAGCTCCATGCGTTTCCACCAGTTTGTCAAGTCCCATATGGCAATGCTCAGCCAGGGCTGTAGATAAATTGTCGCTCCTGACACCAGCGTTAGTTAGGATTCCAGTTTCCAAAGACCAAAGTGCTTGTGACATGAACGAAGTCTCTTACCCTGGGAAGCCATCTGCGTCTACTAAGAAGACAGACGTGGCATTGCTTGTTGTAGAAATATAGAGACACAATTGAAGCTTCTGGGTAAGCAACTCGGCTCTGATCAAAGGCTCTAATAGATTATCACGAGGTCCTTGAGACATCTCGGCTGGGAACCGAACTAAGCTGCCCATGTTGGATCTGGCGATATCGGATATTCCTAAGGGATTGAGTACAACAGACAGGAAGTCTAAAGTCGTTTAAATGACTATGATAGGATTTCAAAATCGTAGAGAAACAGCTTTATCCCAGATGCAACGCGCCGCCTGGTCGACTTAAGAGGGATTACCCATGTCCAGGAAGTACCTCAATGTATATATGCCAACGTTTCATCTGCACCTTTCTTTTACTAGGGAATTCCATATGTAAACTAAGAGCAGTTTCAACCCTCGTTGAGCCTATCCCCGCTCACGATGTAAGCCAAAGCCTTGTACGGAGACAGGGGTCGACATATGCATGGTTAGGCGCCCGCATTTTAGTTTTCAGCTCTTCCCAAAGGAGTAGACTGTCTGATAGGTTATACAATGGCTGCATGCATGCAGTATTGTCTTGGGTACTGGAGGAGAGAGCCTACCGAGTCTAAATAGTTGGTGTATGGGTTTATCAGGCTCGGCATCGCAGTTCAATAATTGCCGAGTATTTTCAACTCCTGCCCTCGATCCTGGCATTGGATTCAATCCGACCATTGTATCCAATTACAAAATTTGACCTCAATAACCAAAATGTCAACTTCGGGAGGGATCTCGTTAGACCATTTTCAGGCTCGCTTGACTGTGCTGCAAAAGCAGCATCAATCCCTCAAAGCAGCCGACTTGGAAATGCGAGCTACACAATCCGAGCGATGCCGTTCTTCACTTGAGAAAGCTGTCAAGAGTCTATTCCAGGTCATAACTCTCGTTCGCAAACACGACAAGCGTCTAGTTGCATGGCACGACCGCAGTCCACATCTCAAATCAGCTCTTCGTTTGATCGGCATTGATCGACGAACAGAACATACCGTGAACAAGACTACGGCGAAACTCAAGAATGGCGTGCACAAAGTCGAGACACAGTTTGAATACGCCGGACAGATCATAGGAGAGAGCATCGATGATACTACACGCTTCCAGAAGGACTTTTCGCAAATTAGTCACTCTGGAGTTGAAGAGAACCTTCAAGCTATGAGAGCGGCTGAAGCTGAGCTGAAGCAGGAGTTGGAGGACCTCAAATACCAGATCCAGAATCAGGATGTTGAGTGTTCTGGGGCAATGGCAGAGTTGACGCAGCAGATTCAACGGCTTGAGAAGCTCACCGCAGATCATGACTCTGCAAGAGCCTGGAAAAACACATGGGGAGCGGTGAGATCGCCGCCCGTTCAGAACCACTTGAGCTCTCGCTGATTCCTCTATCTTCAGGTTACAGTACTTGCTGCAGCGGGAGCTTTTGCAATGCCAGTTGTTGGTATTTCGGTAGGAATAGTAGCCGGTGTCAAAACTCTGTAAGTCATCCAAACTGCTCTCTGTGGCCCTCATTGACGAATTGGTACCTTTCCTAGTATGAATTCCGAGCAACAAGAAGCCCTCAGGGTCCAAAAAGAACAACACGGGCTTCTCGTCCAAAGCCACGATTCAGAATTGAAGTCGCTTCAGCTCCAAATGGCACAATCAGGTTATCACCACGACAGTTGCGCTCATTACATGGATCAAATCAAGCAGATCCAAAGCGCAAACTTGACTATTCGTCAAGAATCAAGCAGAGCGTTCAAGACCTTGTGTGAAGTGCAGATGGCTCTAGAGAAGGCGAGGCTCAACATCTTTGAGATATCACAGGAACTGCAGGAATGTCAATACGAGAAAACTAGGCGTGGGATGGCGGCCAGATTGAATGGTATTTTGCAGAATATTCTGCAATTCCCTGCAAAGGCGAAGTTGAAGGCCATTGATCAGAAGCTCATTGAGCAGGCTACGAGTGGGATACGTGCTATTTCTGGTGCAACGGCTGAGGTTATGGCCATTGTGGGTGAGTGAGACATGGTCTGATTCTGGACTCTTATCAAATTGCACTTCTCGTGAGGGGTCTGAGTGAAACTGAAGGCTGTCTCGACATTTGTGTTTGTGTGTGTTCAAGTATGTCTGCCTGATCGGCACAAATGATACCCTATTGGAAAAGTAGCTTCTTGTACCTCACATGGGTACTTGCATGATACCCATGTCTCTCTATCTAATAAAACTCAGCCTAGATTGGTCTGTCAGTCTCACGAGGTCTTCGAAGCCCCAGCCTGCTTTTCAGCCAGGCCGTTTTCTTTGAAATGCCACTACATATACATGTCACTAGCATCTTCGAGGCAATAGCTGCATTATGCTGGCCCTCATGAATGGCCAACACCCAAAAATAGGAGCTTGGCACGAGAGCATGCAAGACTTGAAGCGGACTTTAATTTGGTGCCGTGTTTTCCATTGAGTTTGGCGTTTACCAAGTGCAGTAGTGTCCATCAGTCGCAAAATTGCATCGCCAATTCAAAATGGCAGCATCGTATAGTAGTCGGACGATCCATTCTCTTACAGGCGGGACCAACACAACGGATCAAGCATCTGCAGAGTAAGTAACACTCAATGGCATCAAGCCAACGCTAACAATTTATTCTCAGCATCATAGCTCTGCATGGTCTGGGAGGTGATTGGAATCGTACCTGGGGCTCGTTCGGATACTGCTGGCTCAAGCACGCCCTCGTGCCCAAGTTCCCATCATGCAGAATCCTTTCTCTCAACTATCCAGACATGCTCTCTATTTTGCCTGCACACCCTCCTGACATAAATGGCCTCGTTCACGATGTCATCAGAGACCGCCGTCAAGAGAACCGCTCAAAGTCACCCATTATCTTCCTCGGTCATAGCTTTGGTGGCACTGTTCTCAAGCAGGTGTATATTGCAACGCACCCTTCTAACACAGATGATCCAGAGTACAAAGCGCTTCATAGCCATATTCGTGGATATGTGTTCTTTGGGACAATCCATAGAGACAGAGACATGAGTCGGGCTAAGCTTGAAGTCCCAGAGCTTTGGAGAGCTTTGAGTCGCGGAGCTTCGGGTACATTGGGTGGCCACTCTCATGAGTTGGAAAAGGCAATGTATACCACTTTTCGTGTGAATCATGCCTTTCGTCGTCTTGGTGGAGAGAACCTCCTCATCAATTGCTTCTATGAAACCAAGGGACCCGGCGGACTGAGTGTCAGTGAATTTCGGCACACATATTCCAGATCTGAAGAAGCTAACATGAGCCCAGAGACGTGTTCTCGTTACTCAGGAAGAATCAACCCTGGTCGCCCGTCCTGTTCCTACTATGCCCTTGGACCTCGACCACCAGTCCCTCGTTTGCTTCAAAGGTCCACGAGATGAAAACCTCGCTCGTGTCCTCGACGCTCTTGATTCGTTCATGATTCGAGCAATGGACGTCGAAACTCGACTGCATAGGCCGATCGCTCCTGAATCTCGAGGACTGTGTCTCTTGTCACTTGATGGAGGTGGTGTCAAGGGATTGTTTAGCATCATCGTCATTGATCGGCTAATTCAAGAGACACGGCGCCTCGAAGGCCCTGGTGCGGAGTACAAAAAGCCCTGCGACTATTTCGACCTCATTGGCGGCACGAGTACAGGAGGTTTGCTAGCTATCATGCTCGGTCGGCTCCAGATGGACACTCAGCTCTGTATTCAAGCTTACAAGTCTCTGTCCAAGGAAGTGTTTTCCAGGAAATTCAAAATGCCCTTCCTGGAGAACTTCCGCAAGGCCAGCAATGTTGTTCTGAGCTGGTCATGGTTCGATGGCGATAAACTCAAAGATGCCGTTTGTCGTACTGTTAAAGAGAATCTTCTCCCCAGTGACTCGGCTGTGCTGAGGCAAAGTGGCTGTACAGTGGAGGACCTGACTCTCATCACTGACATGAAGTCTGCCACGTACTCTTTCGTCTGCGCCGTGCCCAAATATGAGGAAAAGGTGAAGCGAATTCGATCATATGAACCCCTCGACCAACGAACAAATGCTCCGGCTGAAAGGTTCAAGATCTGGGAAGCAGCACGGGCAACCTCCGCAGCGCCAATGTATTTCCCACACATAGAAGCAGGCGGAGTTTCTTACTTCGATGGTGGACTTGAGAGCAACAATCCCGTGATTGAAGTAATCGAAGAAGCCAAACAGGAGTTCCCGGATGATAAGATCTCCACGGTGATCAGTGTTGGCACTGGTGCATACCAAGCCTCAGACGCAAGCGCAGGACTTGCGGGTTTCATGAACTACATGATCAACATGGCCACAAGCACAGAGAAGCATCACAGAGCTGTCCTAGAAGACCCGAGATTCGCAGATATCAGGAAAGAAGGGTACTTTCGACTCAACGGGACACTTGAACTCGGAGCCATTGACCTCGCCGCTGTGGAGCGCATGGAAGAGATCGAGCGTCTGGCCGAGGCCTATCTGAGTTCTAATGAGGGTCAACAACAAATCGGCATGTGTGCCGAGCGTCTAGTTGAGAGGGCAAGACACCACTGAAGCTTGAACGAGGTCCGGATGTAATCTGTATCTGGTGACCCAGGTACCACATACGACCATACCTACCAGAAAATACGGGATCCCGTCCGCTCTCCCATAGTGTAAGGGGCGGATTAGTAGTTGGGTCGGTGACCAGCGAATCCCCGCTGTTGTATGTTTTTTTTGCCGTTTTTGTAGGCGATGAAGCTATCGTGAGACCAGATTTTCGCTGTGGGTTCGTGGTGGGGGCGGGTTGAGCCGTGCACGAGGCAGGTACAGGTTAGACACTCATGGGGGATTGCTCAATGCCTTTAGTATTGAAAGCGCATTACCAAATTCACTTTGTCGTATGATCTTGTGATAAAATGAATACAAGGTATCCCAATTTGTATTGTGGAAAAGGCACTATCGCAGCATGGACGTTATAGGACCCTCTCTGAACAAAGAAACACTCGCTGATAAGGTACGATACACGTAACACAAATAAAGGCCTCGACTAACATCCAGCACCACATGCTCCTGCACCAGCACCACCAGCACCACCAGCACCACCAGCCGATGCTCCATGAGACCCAGCAGCATCTCTCCGGACCTTCTGCCAGATCGACATGCAGCTCATGACAGCCATCAGCGCCCACAACTGACCCAACTCGCCTGTAGCACCGCTTCCTCGGAACTGAAACTCTCCGACACCTGACCAACTCTTGAAAAGGCTTGTGTTTGCCCAAACAGCAACGACCTCCTTGCCATCGCTGGTGTATCCCACTCTGTTGGTGCTCCCATTGTGGAAGTTTGTGCTGCCAACACGGACGAGCTTGTATCCCCGGCTTGATTGACCAACGCTCCTGACTTCAGCGCCTCGAGAGCTTCGCCATTCAAAACCTTCTCTGTGTTGGTCCGGGCCATGGCCGACCTGGGTAACAAACCAGAAATGTCCCCTTCTTGTTAGTCCTGTGGAACAATGGAGGATCTCCTCTCGTGGAGCATCGCCTGAGAGTGAAGGCAATCTGATCAGATAATCGCCGCGCCTGGTTGACGGCCTACTAGAAGCAGCCAGTAGTGGTGAGTAGATGGATGATCCGCTGTGGAGGAGGATGTCGCTGTATAAGCCCTTGACCAAGTCAATTGTGTACATAGGCTCGCCATTGGGACCACTGAGAAGGAGTTTATATGAGGAATCCAGAAACCTGCCTCTTTTGTGTGAGACGCGAATGACGGGCGGGATTCCCTTCTCGAGTCCGCCAGCTGAGAGTTGATAAGTGTGAATTTTTGAGTGTGAGTGACCCATTGTGTGATGCGTGCAACGTAGGAAGTTGGTGGTTGATATAGGATGATTAAAGATGTGTGTAACGTAGGGAGTTGGTTATTGATACAAAATGACCAAAGATGGATGTGTTTGTATCAAGTCTTTGTATTTGACTTTCTTGTTCTTTTAAATTAGAATCATTTCTGTAGGTTCCTTCCAATGGAAATTAGGTAGGTACTTCATCTTCTCTGACCCTTAGAATCCGAGAAGGCACGTCTGAGGTATGTTTGTGGTAAGTGAGCCCCCGCCCTCGAAAGATACTTCAGATGTGCCTTCTCAGGTTCTAAGGGATACTCGATAAGTAGCTGTGATCCTTCTCCTTCAAGGTGAGCCCTGCATCGCCACTGTTTACAGGAAAGATCTGCAGATCTCCACGTTGCGCTGATTCACTGCCGCAGTCTTAGCTTGGCTCGGTATTAGCGATTGGTTACGGCGCTGTTAGGCGCCCTTGTAAGGCTGGTGGGTTGGTCAGTTTCCCCTCAGTGCTTATATCCGGCGCCCTAACTATCATCTCCAGAACGGGCTCTGAAGAGCATTGCGGCGCAATTCAAGCTTCGAGATATGCTATCCGGAAACAGGAAAATTGTGGCCAATGGTTCTATAGCGATTGGCTTATATTTTTGATGCAAGTTTGATTGTTACCCCAAGTGCATGACCTCCTCGACTGGCAATGCCAACGCTGGACTTTTGATAAGAGGATCAGTGCCATTTCAGAGACTCGGGGTTCATCGTAGCGGCCCATTCCAACATAACTTACAGATCCTTTTTGCTACTATCGTACCAATGGCAAATGATCAACTCGGACAAAGCCAACATGCTTGTTAATTTTATGGAAGGGTCTTGTGCTTGTAACTCTGTAGGCAAGCATCGCAACGCCTGTTCATAATGTTAATTATGTATTAGTAACGAATCATACAGCCTGGAAGACAATTCCAGTATGAAGAAACATTAAAAAGAAGTTTCCTTTACCTGGACAAGAGGAAGAAAAAGAATGCCATAGCAGCTACTGGTTTCGATCCAGTGACCTCCGGGTTATGAGCCCGGCTGGGATGAGTTAGCTTTGTAGACTTCGATGGAGCTTGTTAAACATACCGCGCTTCCACTGCGCCAAGCTGCTTTCTTGGGTGACAGGCAGCTTTGCAATGTCTCCTTATGTTGGGAGGCTGTTCGTCTGGTCAAAACAAAGCCTTACTTAGGAGAAGAATATACTTGAAGGTCCTGTAAAGTCCATATTATTACTGATTTACTATATTACAACTTTGTTGTTAACAGCCAATGCCATAAACCGTTTTGTTTCTTCTGGCACTGTGCTCTAAATTGTGTGCGCTAAATTTACCCCGCCCCCGCTCCCATGACTCCGAGGCAGTGGGCTATATCTACGACAAATTCACTCTGTTTTGTCACCAAGAAAGCAATTTGGCGCAGTGGAAGCGCGGTATGTTTCTCAATAATCTGCATCAGTTAGCCAATGATACTAACAGACGTAGCCGGGCTCATAACCCGGAGGTCGCACGATCGAAACGTGCAATTGCTAGGTTTCTATTTTTTTGTAAATTTTGGGAATTCTATGAGTTTATTATATCTTGTTTTTTATTACAGTATTTATTTCGCTGTGTATATCATTTTTGGGTTATGAGCTGTTACCATTGTCTGTATTACTTGTGTGCCTTAGGCAAGATGTCGCAATTGCAGTCATGGAATGGGTGATGTAGTTATTGTCAGCTCTTCTGGGTTTGTACAGGAGTATCTATGTTATTACAGTAAGTTGCAATATTCAGTAGGTATGGGAATATTGCTTTACCCTCAAGTTACCTCTTCAGGGACTATATACTCTGCGATTATTTGTAAAATGAAAAGAGATTGATTGCTACAAATGAATGTGCGCTCGCATCCTTTGAACACGATACTACTACTTGTCCTCAATCCCGTTCCTCTGGACTAGAGAGCTCTTCACCAAGTATGAACTTTACACCCGCTCTTGTGATACTCTTTACAACCTCGAGCTCAGCCTCATTCCTCGGCGCATAAACCATCACGTTACCCAGATACAGAACTGTCCCGCTCAGCGGATGACGCTGGCCCCAGCCTTTCTCTAGAACAAGTTTTGCATCCTTTGGAGCCAGGTTGATATGCATTGAACCATCGCTGCCATGCATATGCCCAATCTCTCCTCCTGTACGCTTTGCAATTGGATGAGAAGGCTTCTCGGAGGCTACAAAGAGGGCTGGGCCTCGTCGCTCTGCAAGAGATATTGCGATCTTGAGCTTTGACAAAGACGATGATGCTAGAGATGACAGGAATTATTGGTAGCCCTGACTCTGTTAGTTATGGAATCGCCATCTGTTGCATCAATACACATGCCTCGATAAGAGATTTCTCCGCCGTATCTGTCAACTGTCGACTCGGTGCCGTCCACGTCCCTATCGTTGGCCTCGGTGCTTCACGGACAGGAATATCTCTCTCACTCAAGAAAGCGACGTGTCCATTAGGGCCTGCTTTCTCGCACGCCTTGTCAGTATAACAGCTCGTATGAAAAGGTTCTTTCTTCAGCGGCTTGAGAAGGATTTGGCCAACCCATCCGATGAGGTTGTGAGGTGGACCTCCAGGCCCGAGAGCAAGATATCCACGGTAGTCTTCGGCTGCGAGACGGAAGGCCGGAATCCCAATAATTACTCCGGCTGCCGCTGCTATAGCCAGACGCTGAGTCTGTGGAGTGAGGTTGGGAAAAGAACGCAAGATGGAGTTGAGCTGCGACAGTGTCATCTTGTGAGCAATGTAGGGCTGTGGTCAAGGGACAGATGAAGACGCTTTATCGCATTTCTTATACTATACCTCATGGGCTCACAGCTAACATAACCAATATAAATTATTCGTTAATACAGAAGGGTTTGATGTTGTGTCGACCCCGAAATTCGATACGTAATATACCATGAAATAAGCCGCGTTGTTCGCTTTATTGATCCTACCAACAAAGTCATACGACTTTGTCACATGCGATGCGATTTCACCCGCAATGGTTGCACGACGTTAATCACCCGCTTAAGTATGAGTTTAACTTTCCATAATTGGGATGTCCCCTTTTTTCGGTTTATTTTCATGACCAGATACGATATCGGGGGTTGCTATATGCATAGTTCTACCCCGTTGTATAACAACGGCATCGATTCTTTCAACGTATTTCTCGATAATAAATGCCATAACTCCCTTCGAGTACTCTACATAAATCTCAACACGATTCTATCCACCACTAATGGAGTGTCTGTTATGTTTTGTCAAAAGGCTAGTCATGGTAACCGTTAACATGCAAGCTACAGCAGCCTGGCAAACTCATTGGTACTCATCCACTTTTCATCCTATGAGCATGAGAACAATTTCATCTCATATCTTGTTAGGTTTTTCTTAGTATCTATACGGTGTCAGATGATAAATACCGGCGCTCCTCCTGTGATGACCCTCGATATTGCTTGACAGCAGAATGCCAGTATCAGTCATTTACATAAAATGCCACTGGGTATATGGGTGGCATCAAATTATACTCTAATAAAGGTAATTTAAATCTCTCTTATGTTCCCCTTCTTCTGCTCACGAATCTTGGAGTGTCATGCAGTCGGATGCGAGTGTCCTGTATGGTGAACTTCAAGCGACACTCAACATTTGATGCTGTTGGTACTACCTCACTACAACTCACACAGCATAACTTTAAATTACTTCCAATGATATAAGTTACCCCCAAATTCCAACCCCCATGCTCCCCAGAGACAAGCATCATACGTGTATTCTCTTATGGCTCACTGTGATGATCACATGGCCAGTATCGGAAAGAAGGTTTTGACACACATATTTCAGTGCTTATTTTGTTGAATAATTGTGAAGCATGACTGGTGTCTCATTTATTCGATATTGATTCAAACGAAATACTGAATACTTGACACGTCGGTAAGATTCACACCGAAGGTAACCATTTCTTTGGGAAAGTTGTAGAAGTTAATCACGATCCGTTTGATAACAAATTAGTATAACAACCCAGGCTTCGAACTCATAGAGGCCTCATCCCGTGGTTAACTTATCTGGTTCTCTCACTCCTGCGGTCTCACGTTGGTCTTCTCGCTATGTGAAGGTCTCTGAGAGTTTGACATATTAGCATGCCACTGTGGTCTTTCAGCGATTGTTCCTCATAAAAGAGCATCCGAGGCGATATGCATATCTACTTAGCAGTCAGATTGCCACTTTCAAACTTTTATCTCATCGAAGCTGAATAAAATGAAGGCTTTACTATCTTTCGTGATGGGACTCAGGGGCGCCAAGGAGCATCCGCACAACCAGACACTCATAGACTCTCGGGCTCATAACTCCTGTACTGTTCTTTCAATGCACACCTCGTGGGATGGGATCAGATTTATGCCAGTTCTCATGACATTAGTCCTGGAGACATTGTATTCTCACTTCTGCCATGGGTCATGAGTATACATCATGGACAGGAAGCACAGCGACACACATGCGAAACTCTTATGAAAAAAAAGGTTCGATTTTAACTAGCCACATCTACTCGACATACGCCTGTCTTCTTCAGTTACTACATAGTAAACTTGCATTTTCAATCCCTTATTATCGCTGATGATGATGCGAACTAAGTCATTGGAGGTCATTATACCAGCTCCTAGCAGCAAGATACATATGTTTCTATCAACCAAACAAGGACATTTCATATTTCTGGAATATTAAACTCTTATTTTGTAGAGTCTTCTACGTATCTACTGTTGTGTGTATTACTCAGTGCCACCCTTGCTTACAACTTCTAGTAATGAGTTGTAACAATCACCGAACACTACATACAACATAGCAACAACACGTATAGTGATAATATTAGCCGCCTGCTTCAAAAGTATAGAAGAAAACCCCACAAAAACCACAGGGTATGACAACACGGATATTGAAATATTACTACAAGCTATCATAACCAGAGGCATTCAATACCAAGCTTCTGATATCAAGTCACCCTATATGATTAAGAGTCACCTAACCTGTATCGCAGGGGGCTATACGATTCCCGGTAATAAGAGATATTAATAAACAAGTTAACCGTAGAACTTTCACTTACCGGCATGTGAGACTGTTGCATTACCGCATGTGGCAGAAACCCCATGTCAATCTTCATTGCGACATTGTCACTGCCATTGCCATTGTCTTGCTCACTCGCGATGAGACCCCCCTATCCCTGCTTAACACACTCATCGGACAGACGCTCTCCCGACTGGTCGAAATCTCGAGACCCCGGTTTCTTGGCGCTCTGACAGTTGTCCTTGTTGGTAACTGAGTGCCTCTCGCCACAATCCTGCGACCATTTGGGATACCTGTTCGCAGGTCTCATACCATACTACCGGTTTCAATAATTGGGTGACCTGGACTGGACCCAACACAATGTATGTATTCAGAACTGAACCCGTACTCCGTATCCATGGCTAGAACATAGGGCGTCGGAATCACAGCGACAACGGGTTTGGTGCCACAAGTACCGGTGGAGCTGAGTCGTATACCATCAAACCACCGAGGTCTGTTGGTTGACGATGGAGGCATTTCTCTCGAGGCTAGGTACAGAGTACACCACTAGTACATACATCATCACGGAATTGGTTTCCCGCGTAGGTGATACCGTGATAAGCAGCCAGCCAGCCAACACAAGACGACCAGAGTATCCGTATTATGCCAAGACAAATAAGGGGATGTTGACCCCATCATCAGAGCGGCACAGACGGGGCTTAGTTTCAATCCAGATATCGTACATACACATAGTTCTGTGAGGATGAACTCACTTGACTCGAGGCTCTATGGATACATACCCTGAAGGATAAACAATTTCGAGCAAAAAGTTGTCGTCTTTCTCATCTTGGATATCCTTACCCGATCTACGGACTTTCACGAAATGCCGAGAAACACACTAAGTTGGTTTAGGTTTTGGGCCCGGCACCTAAATGCCTGGCCAGTTCATAGCTGGCGCACCGGTAGCTGTTAAAACAGAGCCAGTGTCAACCAAAATGTCTCGCGCTTGCGCCACGATCTCCCAGGTGTGGTACCTGGGCGGCTGGGCTAGACCACCGACTCTCAAACTGAAGTCTGTTGTTTCGGCCGCCCGACCCCAGAAGTTCCAAAACCTTGTTGCTCGCCTAATATCTCTCGGCAGGGCATGGCGGAATATATCCCGGACAAGCCGCATAAATCGCCCATTTGGTGCTGTATGTATATCTTTCTGCTGTGCTGATCTCTGTTCACTTACATGGGTGGTGTGTCTGGCTGACTGACTGACAGCAGATTCATACTGTAGTAGTAGCGCTCAGGATGCCAAGTAACGTTATATCCTACCTACCCAACAAACAAACACTGCAATGGACTGGGCCAAGACCCCTGGATCCTGTGACCGTAGACTCATGAAGGGGACGGGGGGTTCGGATAAGCCGCTCTACGGCGTGATCTCGGCCGCGTCAGTGTGATATTGCATCTTACTGCACCAACATGGCACGCCAGCAAACGAGCGAGAGAGCGAAGGAGCGAGCGAAGAAAGGAAGGGCCAAGGAAGTAATTTGGTTGCGCATTCGCCCGTTCGCAAAACGCTCTGCCCTGCCTGCCTGCCCTCGGGGTGTAGCGAGATACAATACGCCACCGTACGGGACCGAGATATCTCAATCTTGGTGGATCTCTCACTTGTTTGTTTCTTCTGTTTTCCTGGGCGCTAAACCCTAGCCCGTCAGATAATGCCGTGAAAGTAAGTTGGGCGATATGCCGAGAGGGATTCGCCGAGTCAATCAATTCATCAAGTCCACAAAATTCATGACTCAGCCGTAAAAACAGCGTTGTAGCCGGGTACCGTACCTAGAGTGTTAGAGTCTAGTTAGAGAGGGACTCGCGATCCAATCAATGCACTGTCGGATTGTGTATGGAGAGAGAGACCCCAAAGGCTAAGGCTCCCCAGGACGTGGCCCATGGAGGCTGCGGGACTGTTGCATTAGGATGCCGGTACTTGTTGCTTTTTTTGCTTTGTATCTGATCCAGATCGGGTGAATAAGCCGGCGCCAATACCAAATCTGTCATAAATGACCGGGATGCATGACGGTGTCACATGTGTGTATGTATGGTATGTTGTAACCACGGTACGTATTGTCGATCTTGTGTGTGCGTTACAAGTCCATCTTGTCGTAATAAGACCACATTCAGAATACGGTATCAGGGTATGCTTGCTGATCCCAGGGCTGATGCTCAGCGTCGTTGTCCATCAAACAAATGGGGGTTTTCAAAAATGCAGATACGGATGGTTCTTACGTACTGGCATCTCCGATTTGGCAGGTCGTTGGTTGAACAAACAAACACCTGAGAGATAACCGTGCTTTCAACTAGGCCAACGCCATTGGAGCAGCTGTACGTACAAACATCGACAGAGAGGACGCGTTGCGTGGATGTGCTGTTCCCACCAGATCAGTACATACATACAACATGCAAGTACCTCCATTGGCTTGTGTTTGGGGCATAATGTAGTGTAGGCTGGCTGTAGACTGCCGAGAGGCTCAAACCAGGTACAGTAAACCTTGTCAAAGCACCGTCGTGAAAGGGATGACCGTATCAAGCAAGATTCAAGGCACATCCATCTCCAGACATGGGATGATACTGCGAGTGACAGCGGGAAAATTACAAGCGAATTTCGCTCTGACATGCGGATGCCGCTCCCTCTCAAACGTCAGCCCCCTGCACAGGTTCGGCATTACTCCGACAGCCAT